CAGGTAATGGGGAAAAAATAAGAACCAAGATACATCATGTACAGGTACAAGCACCCAATGATAAATGTAAACATACTGTATACCTAAAATGTACCAATAAAAGAATTTTTTTAAAAAAGAATACATAACTATCTTGCACCCAGCGAAATAAAATTTACAGTGTCTTCTTTTACATGCCTGGTAAACACCAACTGGTTACCAAGCAATTTTTTTTTAAGGCTGGAGAACCAAAATGGACCAAAAATAACAGTTGATAAAGTTAGAAGGCTAGGACATCAAAAAGTATTATACATGTATCTCATATGTTCTAGAAGCCAGAGGAAAGATAAAATACACTAAGATATGGGGGAGGGGACCTAAATTGAAATTAAAATGTTGCTAAAATGTTGGAGATGCTTTACTTGATGTTTGGTGAATTACAAATTTTTCTACTCCACCTGGTAGATTCAGGCCCTGTGTGAGCTCTCAGTTTGTATCATTCCCTCAATTCCTTTCAAATGGTTCTTCCCCAGCCTCAAGTTATTTCCTCACAGACGTGTACTGATCAGTACTCAGCTAAATACTTGAAAGGGACTTCTGCAGACCTGTGAAGTTCTCTCTCTGTGGCTCTCTGCTTTCTGGTACTCCATCCTGTGTTCTTGAGCTGTCTTCATTCCCAGTATCTCAGTTCCATCTCTTTAGTTAAGGGGGGTTTCTAAACTCTTCTGCTGAGCAGATTCGTGCCCAAAAATTCTCTCCAGGCAATAGCTACAGCAACTATAAGCTTGCCTTATTTGTTTCCTGTCTCTCAGGAATCAATGGTTTTTGCTGCTTAATAGTAAATGAATACTTGAGAACTGTTGTTTCATTATTTCATACAGGTTTTTAGTTGTTTTCAGTAGAAGGGTACTAATCCCTGTTAAGGTTATCTTGACTGGAAACATTATTTTATTTTTTATAAAAGGAGGCCTAAGAGCTAAATTAACTTTTTAACAGCACTAAATGCTGATATTTTCTAAAAATTATACATATTCAATTAGTACCACTCATATATTAGTAAACTATCCTGATGCAAAGAACCACAGATACTGAGTCCAAGTGAAATAAAATAGAATTCAGATGAAAAGAGAAAATATCACCATATTAGAAATTAAAAGCATGTAACACACGGTAGAAAAAAAGATTAATCATGAATGTAAAACAGGCAGGTCCAAAGAATCAACAATACTCTGCAATGACCAATAATAAAAAGCCAATATAAGGAAAAAGTCATTTTAGAAAAGGTGTAAACTGAAAGATTTCTCTGAAAAAAAAAATTTACCTGAGATCAAAGATCCTCTGTATGACCACATAGCTGCTTCCATCAAATATATGGAGGAACTTACTCATTTGAGAGGAAATGCTGTATTTATCATAGTGGCACTGGAATTTGGGCCCAATATTACAAAATGTGCCGATAGACTAATAAAGTAAATACACTAAAGAAATAGAGGCAAAACAAGCAGTAGATGTCTTCAGAAAAAAACATAATAGAATCT